CAGAGAGAGAGCTGTGCCCCACAGAGAGAGCTGTGCCCTCAGAGGGAGAGCTGTGCCCCCAGAGGGAGAGCTGTGCCCTCAGAAGGAGAGCTGTGCCCTCAGAGAGAGCTGTGCCCCTCAGAGGGAGAGCTGTGCCCCCAGAGGGAGAGCTGTGCCCTCAGAGAGCTGTGCCCCTCAGAGAGAGAGCTGTGCCCCACAGAGAGCTGTGCCCCTCAGAGGGAGAGCTGTGCCCCTCAGAGAGAGAGCTGTGCCCCACAGAGAGAGCTGTGCCCCTCAGAGGGAGAGCTGTGCCCCTCAGAGAGAGAGCTGTGCCCTCAGAGAGAGAGCTGTGCCCCACAGAGAGCTGTGCCCCTCAGAGGGAGAGCTGTGCCCTCAGAAGGAGAGCTGTGCCCTCAGAGGGAGAGCTGTGCCCTCAGAAGGAGAGCTGTGCCCTCAGAGAGAGAGCTGTGCCCCCAGAGGGAGAGCTGTGCCCCCAGAGGGAGAGCTGTGCCCTCAGAGAGAGAGCTGTGCCCTCAGAGAGAGAGCTGTGCCCCCAGAGGGAGAGCTGTGCCCTCAGAAGGAGAGCTGTGCCCCCAGAGGGAGAGCTGTGCCCCCAGAGGGAGAGCTGTGCCCCTCACAGAGAGCTGTGCCCCACAGAGAGAGAGCTGTGCCCTCACAGAGAGCTGTGCCCCACAGAGAGAGCTGTGCCCCTCAGAGGGAGAGCTGTGCCCCCAGAGGGAGAGCTGTGCCCTCAGAGGGAGAGCTGTGCCCTCAGAGAGAGAGCTGTGCCCCCAGAGGGAGAGCTGTGCCCTCAGAGAGAGAGCTGTGCCCCCAGAGGGAGAGCTGTGCCCCCAGAGGGAGAGCTGTGCCCTCAGAGAGCTGTGCCCCCAGAGGGAGAGCTGTGCCCTCAGAGAGCTGTGCCCCTCAGAGAGAGAGCTGTGCCCCACAGAGAGCTGTGCCCCTCAGAGGGAGAGCTGTGCCCTCAGAGAGAGAGCTGTGCCCTCAGAAGGAGAGCTGTGCCCTCAGAAGGAGAGCTGTGCCCTCAGAGGGAGATCTGTGCGCCTCTCTCCTCCCAAAGCAGCTCCCATTTTATTCCATCCATTTTTCCAGTTTCCACCCCAGCTGCCGGGCACAAACAGCTCAGGGCCTTCCTGCAGCATTCCCCACGTCAGGAATTGCCATTTTGGGGCCTCACCATTTTGGTGTAGAGTGCCCTGATGGAAGGGCTGGTGGCCAGCAGCTCTGCAATCTCCCCTTTCTTCTCCTCCAGGCTGAACTGAGCCAGCCAGGCCTCCAGCAGCTCAGCAGGGCCTGTGTGGGACAAGCACAGGGACAAGAACCCTTCAGGTTGGGGAGGTTTCACTGGGACACAGGAGGAGGGAGACACAGGGCTCAGAAATGCTCTGCCAGCTCAAGGCTCAATTTAAATTGGGTTAGGAAATTCAGTTTAAGCTGGTCCTTGAGGTAAGAGCCAGATCTGCTCTTCTACAGCTCAGACCTGCTGGCCAAAGGCTTCAGGGAACTGCAGCTGGCCCCCGAACCCCCTAGGGCAGCACCCTGAACCCTCTGAACCCCCTTGGGGAGCACCCTGGACCCCCTGAACCCCCCTAGGGCAGCACCCTGGAGCCCCTAAAGCCCCCTAAGAGAGACGCCTGGCCCCCAAATCCCCTTGGGGAGCACCCTGGACCCCCTGAACTCACCAAGGGAAGCACCCTGGAGCCCCTGAACTCCCCCTAGGGCAGCACCATAGACCCCATGAACCCCCCTAGGGCAGCACCCTGGACCCCTCGAATCCCCAAGGGCAGCACCCTGAACCCCCCAAACCCTCTAGGGCAGCACCCTGGACCCCGTGAACCCCTAAGGGCAGCACCCTGGACCCCCAAACCCCCTAAGGGAGCCCCCAAACCCCCTTGGGGAGCACCCTGGAGCCCCTGACCCCCCCATACCATCGGGCTCGTTGCAGTAGGTGGCCGGGTCGGACTGGAGGCTGTAGAGACGAGCCTGGAGGGGACACACAGGGACAGCTGTGAGGGCAGGGACAGCAGCAGGGCCAGGGGACAGGCTCAGGGTGCCACACTGACCTTGGCACTGTCGTAGGGCTCGGTGGTGCCCGAGGGTGTTGCCATCAGGGTGATAACGTCACAGTCTATGGTCTTGTCCGGAGAGGGAGCGAAGGTGTCCGAGATGACCCCCAAAAAGTCAGACAGGCCCTTCCTCACCTTCTCTGTGGCACCTGAGCCCTCTGCCCTCTGCAGGGGAAGAGGCAGCACAGGGTCAGTGACACCCCAGGATTCCTGGGAATCCTTAAGGAAGCAGGATCTGACCCCGCAGGAAGGGTGAGGTGGGGGACACCTGAGGGGAGCTGAGCTGGGGCTTTGTGGGGGAAGCACAGTGGGTTTGGGGCTTTGTGGGGGAAGCAGAGCCGGGTTTGGGGCTTTGTGGGGGAAGCAGAGCGGGTTTGGGGCTTTGTGGGGGAAGCAGAGCCGGGTTTGGGGCTTTGTGGGGGCAGCACAGCGGGTTTGGGGCTCTGTGGGGGAAGCACAGCCAAGTTTGGGGCTGCTGGTGTGGGGTGGGGCTGTCCCAGCAGCAGCTGTGCAGGGCTGAGGGTCACAGCTCATGTGGAGTCTGTGTCACCTTACAGTGACACTGCCAGTGTTCCCCCTATAGTGACACTGCCTGTGTCACCCCTACAGTGACATTGCCAGTGTCCTCCTACAGTGTCCCCCCGCATTGACACTGCCACTGTCCCCCTACAGTCACACTGCCAGTGTCCCCCCTACACTGCCACTGCCACTGTCCCCCCTACAGTGTCCCCCCTCCAGTGGCACTGCCAAAGTCCCCTTACAGTGAGACTGCCATTGTCCCCCCTACAGTGACACTGACAGTGTCAACTTACAGTGACACTGCCTGTGTCCCCCCTACAGTGACACTGCCACTGTCCCCCCTACAGTGACACTGCCCATGTCCCCCTACATTGTCCCCCTACAGTGACACTGACAGTGTGAACTTACAGTGACACAGCCAGCATCCCCCTACAATGTCCCCCTCTACAGTGACACCGCCTGTGTCCCCCCTACAGTGACAGTGACAGTGTCAACCTACAGTGACACTGCCAGCATCCCCCTACAATGTCCCCCCCTACAGTGACACTGCCAATGTACCCCTAGAGTGACACTGCCACTATCCCCCTACATTGTCCCCCTACACTGACACTGCCAATGTCCCCCCTACAGTGACACCTCCAGTGTCCCCTGCTCAGCACAGTGGACAGGGAACCCCGAGGGAGTGGCAGCACAAGGGGAATGACTTCAATCTGCAGGAAGTGTGGTTGGATGGGGAAATTGGGCAGGAATCCTCCCTGTGAGGGCGCTGGGATGAATTCCCAGAGAAGCTGTGGCTGTGCCATGCCTGGAACGATGCCAGGCGGGGTTTGGAGCAGCCTGGGAGGGTGGCAGTGTCCCTGCCGTGGCAGGGGTGGCACTGGGTGCCCATACTCACTGCCAGCCTGTCCTTGACCACGCTGGCCGTGGCGGCGATGGTGCAGGCCGTGTCGTGCTGCACCACCTGTGTGAACTCAGCCAGGTCCCTCTTCATGAACTCCAAAGCCTCTGTGGACTGCAAGCACACAGCACATGGATTCCGCAGGGTTTGGCTTCCCCAGCAAAGCTGGGATTGCGCCCAGCACGTTACAAAAATTCAGGTGGGAGAGTTTGGCTCAGATGAACCCTCACCCCAAACTGGGCAATGCATAAAACCAGAATAACCTGACCAACAACAGCGCCTGCTCTGCCCAAAACACATTCCAGGAGGCTCTGAAGCCAAGAGCAGGAAAAACACAGGCTGGGAGAAGCCTGGCTTTAGGTTTTGTGTATAATTAACACAGGCAGTGCTGTCACAGCAGGAAGTTCCACAGCACAGAGCCACGCTGGAAGCACAACCCCCCTGCTCAGGGGGTGATCTCCACATGACAGAGCCCAGCATGACCCAGGGTTTGTTTGATCCCCTACAAATCCATCCCAAATCCGCTTCGGGGGGACCCTCCCGGGATGGGAGGAGCTCCGGGACCGGCCCGCAGGCCCCACCCTCCCGCTCCCGAGGTCTCCCGGTGGTTCTCACCGGCTCCCACCAGTTCTCACCTTCTCCTTGACGGCCTGGTAGCTCTGCTGGAGCCAGCTCCGCCACCAGCCGCCATCCTCCCTGCGAGGGACGGGTACGGCGTCAGCACAGCCCACACACAGAGCCTGAACCCAGAGCCAGACCCAGATCCCGACCCCAAACCAGGATCCCACACCGAGCTCCCAAATCCCATATCCTGACCCCAGATCCAGATTCTATATTTCGATCCCAGACCCAAATCCCAACCCCACACCCAGAGCCCCAGATCCAGACCCCAGCTTCAGACCCTGAGCCGAGATCCCAACTCCAAGCCAAGATTCAGATCCCGAACCCAGATCCCAGACCCCGATCCCGGACCCAGACCCAGATCCCGATTCCAACCCCAAATTCAGACCCCAAACCCAGATTCCATCCCCAGACCCCGATTGTGGATCCCAACCCCAGACTCAGATCCAGACCCCAACCCCAAGTTCCAACCCCCGATTCCAACCCCAGATTCTATCCTCAGACCGCAATCCCGGATCCCAGATCCAGATCCACTCCCCGACCCCCGATTCCATCCCCATACCCCGACCCCAACCCCAGATTCCATCCCCCGATTCCATCCCAGACCCGCTCTCAGCTCACCCCCCCCAAACTGCAGCCCCGGCCGGGCCCCGCTGCCCGGTCCCCGCTCCCGCCCCGCTGCCCACGGGGTCCTTGTCCCGTTTCTGTCCCGTTACGTTCCTGTTCCCGTTCCGTTCCCCCCCGGTCCCGCCGCCCCCCGGCCGAGCCCCGCTCACCCCTCCGCCATCTTGGCGGTGTGACGTCACCAATATTTACCGACCCCTCACCCCGCGGGCCCCGCCCCGGAGCCGGCCCCCTCTGACGTCACTTCCTGTCCCGCCCCGGGGGCGGGACCTGGGTACGGTGGCCGGGCGGGACCGGGATTGGGACTGGGAGCGGAGCCGGGCGGAGGTGAGCGGTGGGCACCGAGCGCTGCCCGGGGCGGGCGGGGATGCGTTCCGGGGCACCCCGGTACCGGGCAGGGCGGTGCTGACAGCAGGGAGGGCTCCCAGTGCCGGGCGGGACGTGGCGCGGCGGGGGATCCCGGGACCGGGCACGGTGGCCCTAGGGGATGCCGGTCATGGGAAGGATGGTCCTTGGTGTCCCGGGACAGCCGGTGGTTACCGGGCAGGACAGACCCCCGGTACCGGGCGGGACGGTCCTTGGAGCAGGACGGGATCCCGGTACCGAGCAGGATGGTGATGGCGCCGTGGGCTATCCCGGTACCGTGGCGTTCTAGGGGATGCCGGTACCGGGCAGGACGGACCTTGGTGAGACGCGGGACTGCCGGTACCGGGCAGAGCGGAGACGCGGCACCGGGCGGGAAGGGGCGTAGAACCCCCGGTACCGGGCGGGACGGTCCTTGGCGGTGTCTCTGCCTGTCCCGGTGTCCCCGGAGCGCTGGGAAGGGGTGGCAGTGCCGGTGTCCCCGCGGTGCCGGTGTGTCCCTCCCTGTCCCCCTATTCCGCTGTCCCCTATCCCCCTGTCCCTGTGCTGACGCTCTCTTTGTCTCCCTGTCCCGCTGTCCCCGTGGTCCTGGTGTGTCCCCCTGTCCCTCTGTCCCGCTGTCCCGGCACTGACCCCCTGTCTGTCCCCACAGGTGCTGATGTCCCCTCTGTCCCGCTATCCCCTGTCCCAATGCTGGTGCTCTCTCTGCCCCTGCTGTCCCCCTGTCCCCATGCTGACCCTCTCTCTGTCCCCCTGTCCCCCTTTCCCCCTGTCCCAGTGTCCCTCTGTCCCAGCACTGATGCTCTCTCTGTCTTTCTGTCCCCTGTCCCTTCACTGACCCTCCTCTGTCCCCACAGCCATGGAGGTGCCGATGTCCCCGCTGTCCCCTGTCCCACTGTCCCACTGTCCCCCTGTCCTGGCACTGACCCCCTGTCTGTCCCCACAGCCATGGAGGTGCCAATGTCCCCTCATCCTGCTGTCCCCTGTCCCTTCACTGACCCCCTCTGTCCCCACAGCCATGGAGGTGCCAATGTCCCCTCATCCTGCTGTCCCCTGTCCCTTCACTGACCCCCTCTGTCCCCACAGCCATGGAGGTGCCGATGTCCCCTCATCCCGCTGTCCCTGTCCCTTCACTGACCCCTCTCTGTCCCCCTGTCCCCTGTCCCTTCACTGACCCCTCTCTGTCCCCCCAGCCATGGAGGTCCAGTCCTACTACACCAAGCTGCTGGGGGAGCTGAACGAGCAGCGCAAGCGCGACTTCTTCTGCGACTGCAGCATCATCGTGGAGGGCAGGATCTTCAAAGCCCACAAGAACATCCTGTTCGCCAACAGCGGCTACTTCCGAGCGCTGCTCATCCACTACATCCAGGACAGCGGGCGCCACAGCACGGCCTCGCTGGACATCGTCACCTCCGAGGCTTTCTCCGTCATCCTGGACTTCCTCTACTCGGGCAAGCTGGATCTGTGCGGCGACAACGTCATCGAGGTGATGTCGGCGGCCAGCTACCTGCAGATGACCGACGTGGTCAACTTCTGCAAGAGCTACATCAGGTCCTCGCTGGACATCTGCAGGAAGATGGAGAGGGAGGCCGTGGTGTTCTACCAGGCTGACAGCGGCAGCTCGGCCAGGGAGGGCCCCTCTGCTGGCTCCAAGGGTGCTGTCCCCGTGTCCTCCGTGCAGGAGAAGGTTCTGGAATGCCAGAGGGACCCTCCCTGCGGGGAGTGCAGTGGCTGTCACCCCTTGGAGGTGGTGGCCAGGGACCCTCAGAGCAGCGTTTCCCCCGATGGCTGCAGGAGGGTGGAGCCCAAGGTGGAGTTTGAGGCCGAGCCGGCGGCGGCGGCGGCGCTGGAGCCCATGGAAGAGGGGCAGCCCCTGGAGCTGGCCTGCAATAACCTGCACATGAAGCAGTTCCTGGAGGCTCTGCTGCGCAACAGCTCGGCCCCGAGGAAGGAGGACGTGGTGCATCACTTGGTGCGGGGATTTGAGGCTAGGGCTGAGGAGGCTGGAGTGCCCGTGAGCTCCATGGTGGACATTCACAGCGACTGGTATGGTGAGGACACAGGTGAGAGGACTCAGGGCTGCAGGGCAGGAAGGAACAGCTTTGTTGGGCTCCTTTTGTTATTCCTGTCCAAGGATATTTTGCTGAATTTTTGGCACGCTGAAATAAACTCTTGTTGTGCACTTTGAAAGCAGCTGTACTTGTTTGTTTGGTGCAGCCCGTGGCAGGTGAGTATTGCTGACAGCTCTCTGTTCAGATCACCCCACATTCCACTTGGGGTGATTCTTCTTTCATGAGCAAACTCACTGGGACCTCGTTGAATGTTTTTAAAAAAGATTTTTCCCTCCTGATGGTCACAGAGCAATCCAACAGGAGAGATCTGCTGCAGGACCTGCTGTTCCCATCCCATCCCAGCTCCTGCCACTGCTGCTCTATTTGCAACTTCAGAGGGCAGGAATCAGCTTTATCCAACACTGAGGGAATCCTGTGAGTCCTTTAGGAGCACTGAAAGCTTTCAATTCTGTGGTATGGCATAAAAATGAGGCTTTTTTCACTTTCCAGCTGCCGCAGCACCAGCTGGGATATCTCAGGAATATTTCTGGCAGCACTCTCAGGAAAACCATGCCCATGTGCATTTCTCCTGATGTGGACAATAAAGATTTGGGCATTTTATCTGGTTTTTCATGAGTGCCTTGTCCAAACAGCTTTGTGAGGACAGGAGGTGGCTCTGCCACACTGTGAGTGCCACAGGTGCTGAGGATGTGACAAATGCCACAGGGCTGGCACTGACTGTAGCCAGCAAATTTATTTTCCTGTCATCTGCAGCTCAAGCTGCCTGTGTGACTTTAAAGCCAATAAAAAGTGACAAATCCTCTCAAGCAGGGCACTGATGAAATCACAACTGCAGGTTTACTCCCAGAGCAGGGCTGTCACCACTCACGCTGGTGCTTTTTGATGTGTGCCAAGGCAAGAACATCCAACACACAAATTTCACTTCTCTTTCTCCTCTCTCAACATCTCCAGGCTGTTCATGAGTCATTAAAAGGGAAATGCTCCCAGAGTTTGATAGGGAACATCAGGAGTCCTGGCAGTGTAGCAGAAATGTTAGTGAGAGATGGGGTTTGAGTAGGAGTGAGGGAAAAGAAACCAAACCTTCCTTTCCTTCTGTTTCTGTGCTAAAACAGGACCTTGGAGCAGTGAGGAGAGTGGGAGTTTCTCAGCTTTCAGTGCTGCTGCTGCCTCAGCTTCTTCACAAGGCTCCAGAAATGAGAAACACAAACTCCTGGTAAAAGAATGGTGCACTCAGGTTAAGAGATGAGATAAATTTCACTTTTTTTCAAGTTTCTACCTCTGTTCCAGTCATCCTTCACAGCAGAAGGAGGGAGAACTGGCACCTGTAGAGCACTGGAAGCAAGGCAGGACTAAGAACTGGGTTTAAATGAAGCTCTGAATGCCCAGCAGGGATCTGCAATCCCTTGGGAAGCTCCAAGACTCTCACTCACATCATTAATACCAGACACACCTTTTTTGATAGTGGGTTGGATAAACCTTAATGCAAAGGATGCTCTGCAGCCTCACCTGCTTGAGACACAAAATATTTCCCTGAATCAGGGCCTGGAACAGGGAAAATCAATCCTTTGGCATCACATCTCCACTTTTCTGCTGGAAGGGAAGCTGGTGCTGAAAAACTTGGCAATGCCCACCTTTCTGTAAAATGGGATCTTCAAATTCAATTCTGTTCTTGCACCTGACTCCATAAATTGTGTATTGCTTGTGGTTTGGTTTTTGGAACGGTAAAATATTGTCAGGAAATATATTGGAGTCCTTTCCCTCATTATTCCCAACAGGAAGGGAGTAGAAACAGAGTCATATTTTCATATATAAATATGAAAGCACGTGGCCAAAATGTGCTATTTCTGCCTGCAGTTTGTGTTAAAGGCTTTAGTTTCTGATGCTAATGATTTAATCATTTTTAAGAAAAGGAATAGCCAAAATGTGCTATTTCTGCCTGCAGGTTTGTGTTTAAGCTTTTAGTTTCTGATGCTAATGATTTAATAATTTTTAAAGAAAAGAATAGCCAAAATGTGCTATTTCTGCCTGCAGTTTGTGTTTTAAGGTTTTTGTTTCTGATGCTAATAGTTTAATAATTTTTAAAGAAAGGAATAGCCAAAATGTGCTATTTCTGCCTGCAGTTTGTGTTTAAGGTTTTGGTTTCTGATGCTAACAGTTTAATAATTTTAAAAAAAGGAAGTGGCTGAGATGGAGCAGAGACCCCACTTGACTAGAAGCAGATTATTGGTATTAACTAAAAGGCTCCCTAAAATAAAATGAATGTTTTGCTGTGTTGAACACCAGACAGGCTGCTTTTCCAGGGCACTGCAGCTGCATGAATTCTGCAGTGGCACGGCCGAGGAACCCCCAGGTGAGGGAAGATGCAGCTCCCACCCGAGCCGTGCAGCGAGCAGCACCAGGAGCCCTGGCAGCAGCTCAGAGGGTGCCCGAGCTCACAGGCTGTGTTCTGTCCCCAAGGTGACGTGCTGGTGGTGCCCATCAAGCTGCACAAGTGCCCGTTCTGCCCCTACACGGCCAAGCAGAAGGGGATCCTGAAGCGGCACATCCGCTCGCACACCGGGGAGCGGCCGTACCCCTGCGAGACCTGCGGCAAGCGCTTCACCCGCCAGGAGCACCTGCGCAGCCACGCGCTCAGCGTGAGTCACCCGCACCCTGCTCACCTGCAGGGTCACGGGGGGTCGCAGGGGGTCACAGCGGGTCACAGGGGGTCGCAGGCTCTGCAGGCTGCCTCGGGTTTTAGGTTTTCAGGGTCTTTAGTGGGTGGGTCTGGGGTTGGTGTTAGGGGATGGTTGTTGGAATTGCAGGGTGACCCCAAATCAAGTGATTGGCATCTGGCTGCAAGGCTTTGGAATGCTGAACACTGGCCTTATTAAAACTATATTATATGACATTACAGCTATATTAAAGAGAGATACTATACTAGACTAGACTATGCTAAGCTACGCTATAGACTATACCATTCTATTCTATTGTATATTACACTATAAACTATACCATTCTATACTATACTATGCTATACTATACTATACTATACTCTATTATACTATTACTATTACTATTACTATTACTATTACTATACCATACTATTTTATACTATACCATACTATAGTACTCTATCACTATTCTATTACTATACTATTACTATACTATACTACACTATACTATACTATACTATTCTATACTGTTCTATTCTATACCATACCATACTATTACTATACTATTTTACACTATATTATACTGTACTATTCTATACTAGGCTACACTATACTACACTGCACTACACTATATACTATAGCATTCTATTCTATACTATTCTATGCTATAGTACACTATGCTATGCTGTTTTATATTATTCTATTCTATTCTATTCTATTCTACACTATATACCATACTATTCTATACTATAGTACACTATGCTATATTATTCTATATTATACTATACTACACTATACTATACCATTATTGTTACTATTACTATTACTATACTATACTATTTTATACTATACCATACTATAGTACTCTATCACTATTCTATTACTATACTATACTATACTATACTATACTATTCTATACTATTCTATTCTATTCTATTCTATACCATACTATTACTATACTATTTTATACTATACTATAGTGTACTGTACTATACTATACTATACTATACTATACACTATATTATACTATTTTATACTATGCTATTACTATGCTATTACTATTTTATACTATGCTATTACTATGCTATTACTATTTTATACTATACTATTCTGTTCTATACCATATTGTACCATACTATTCTGTTCTATACTATAATATAGAATATATACTATATATATATACACACACTATATATATATACACTATATACTATATACTATATATATATATAGTATATAGTATATATATTATATATATAGTATATAGTATATATACTATATATATAGTATATAGAATATATATATATACACACACACACACACTATATAAAGTATAGTATACTATTCTATACTATGCTACACTATACCATACTACACTATGCCAGATACTATTCTATACTACACTATATCATACTTACTACAGAAAAACTCGTGGCTGTCTGCTGACAGTCAGGACACAGCTCTGAGTGACTGGCCAAGGAAACAAAACAATCCTCAGCAGAATGCAATTACCAAATTCCTTCAGGTAAATAATCTTCCAGCACATTCCACATGTGCACAAACACAGGAGCAGCAAATGAGATAAGAATTGATTGGATCGTTCTTTTCTCTGCTTCTCTCTGTTCAGAGGGCCTGTGGATACCACAGATGGTGAGCTCTCTGCACAGAGTAGGAGACAAAACAATTCCTGCTCCAGCTGGGGACCAAGGACAAATGATCCAAATCTCAGCCCAAGAGCACAAACAACATGGGCTGAAGAAGGATGGAGCTGTAATTGAATAATTAACTTGAATATGCAAATAGACCAGAACTTATAAAAATGTGAGATCTCATGACCAAGCTCTCTTTTGCTTCCATCCTGGAGCATCCAGGCAGAGCCAGGACTGTGGCCGAGGTACTGCCAGGGTCTGGCTGTTTCTCTGTTGTGGCAATCTCTCCAAAGCATCAAATTCTCTTTTTCCCCCAAATGTGCTGTTTCCCTGCAGGTCCATCGCTCCAACATCTGCAAGGGCTGCAGGAGGACCTTCACCAACAGCCTGTCCCTGGGGCATTTTTTCTTCCCAATCTGTTAGGTTCGATTTTGGGAAGGAATTCTGCAGGGTGGTGAAGGTGTGGATTCCCCATTGCTGGAATTGTCCCAAGCCAGGTTGGACAGAGCTTGGAGCAACGTGGAATTGTTGAAGGTGTCCATGGGCTGGACAAGCTCTAAGTCCCTTCCAACCCAAACCATTCCATGATTCCTACACTTGGGTAGCCCAAATCTTTGTGGGCAGAATAATGATGGCGATTCCACTCCCCTTCAGCTGAAGTGTGGCTGTTTCTCTGTTGTGGCAATCTCTCCAAAGCCTCAAATTGCCTTTTTCCCCCAAATTTGCTGTTTCCCTGCAGGTCCATCGCTCCAACAAGCCCATCATCTGCAAGGGCTGCAGGAGGACCTTCACCAACAGCCTGTCGCAGGGGCTGCGGCGCTTCGGGCTCTGTGACAGCTGCACCTGTGTCACCACCACCCACGAGGACTCCCTGCCCATCAACCTCAGCCTGGTGGAAACGGCCTCAGAAGGGCAGGAGAAAGGAGATGCTGACAATGATTGGCCCATCTACGTGGAGTCTGGGGAGGAAAATGACCCAGCTGAGGATGATGATGGCGATGACAAGCAGGAAATCCACAGGACTTTGTCAGACAGAGAGACTTTGATGTAGCAGTGAGAGGAGAGGGGGAGCACTGAGAGGTTCCCTGGCAGTGTCTGTGACAGAAAACTGCACGTTTGCTCAATCAGTGACACTGTGCTGGTTTTTATTATTCTGGGGTTTAATTCAATTGTGAGGAGAATTGGATTTTTTTGATACTTTTAAAGTTTTCAGTGCTGTGCACCAGAAATCTGTGAAGAATCTTCAGTCTGGGGCTCACAGAGGTTGGACTCGAGCAGTTTCTCTGCCTGCTGGTTTTGGGTTTGCAGGTGGAACACCTCTGGGTTGTTTTGGGGACAGGTTCTTTCAAATAATGAGTCCTGGTCCTTAATCCCTGATCTGAAAGGGACGCCACCTTTCCTCTGAAGATGACATAAAATGTGGTTTCCATCTCTTACCTTGGGACTTTTCCAAGCTAATCTGTGATCCTTCTGTCTTAGGACAGTGTTATCTAAATGATGAACCATAAATATTTGCTGAGACTGGGTTTGACCTGGAAACCAGGGCAGAAAAACCAGGATAACAACAAAAAACCCCACAAAAATATGCTGCTGCTGAAAGGATAGACAGGAAGAATCCATCTCTTTCACATAATTAATTGCAATAATTTATAGATCAAGCTTTTCTTTCTGAATTTTTACTGCATCTTCCTCTCCTGAGAGCTCAGGCTGTGGATCTTCAGCTGTGTCTTTAACGTCACTCAGAATTCAGTAGTCTTGGCTTCAATATTAAACACAAAAATGGTGTTTTAGTGGCCAGGACCAAGAGAAAAGCCCAAATTCTTTTCAGCTTTTTACAATAGGAGTCAAAAGCTGTCAGGCAGGTTCCCTGGGAATTCTGACTGTGGCACTTTGAATAACCAGACCCACACCTGGTGCAGCTGAGGAGCAGTGAAATATCTGAGCTATGCTATAAAAGAGCTCTGGGTGCCCTTTTGGAGTAATTTTCTTCATTTTTCCTGTAATTTCTTTTCAAATTCGGGGATCCTCTCATGATTTATGTTTGGTGATTTAATCCAATATTTATTTTCTTAAAAAACCTCCACTGTGGACCTCCTGATTCTTTGCTGGGGCAGCTAAAACTTTACAAAGGAGGTGAGATTTTGTCACCTTTCCAGCAGCAAGTTTTTTAGAGCTATCAAAACTCAGGCTGGGCAGCTTTAGAAGAAAACCCAGCACCACCAGAAAGCCTGTTTGCTTTGGGGTGACCTCCTGTTCCCTGACAAGGGGACAAAACTGAAATATACTGTGAAATAAGACTGTTAATGCTTCTTCACTCTGCTGTTCCCAAGTGTTTCACAAAAAGGCAAATTTGATGAGTCTTTTTGGCTGGAGCAGAATTTTTTTAGACAGATTTGGCTGACAAAGAGTGAGCAGTTCCTCCCACTTGGTGCTGTTTCCTGAGGGGTTTTTGGTGTGAAGATTTTCCCACTTGGCAAACCTAAAAAACCCCAGAGCCTTCTGATTTAACCAGGGTTTGTTCCGCATACCTCGTGCTTTTCTTGTGCACGTTGAAAAAGAACAATTCAGCTTCTCCCTCTGCTTCACCTAGCAGTGAAACTGCCCCATTATCATGTCAGATTTATTTGTGAGAGGTGATTCTGCTCTCACAAGTGCACCTAAGGGTTCCTTGCCACACCAGGTCGGATGAGGAAAGAAGAAATAAAGTTGTTTTTAAAGAATTCACTTTATTGGTGGCTGCTGCAGAGAGCAGAAGGTGAAGAGACTTTTTCTGGAGTGGTCTGCTCCAAGTTCTTGATGATGTGCTGGGTTTATTTTCTGTCCCTTAATTTGGGTGAGTTTCAGTCATCCCTGTTCCAGGTCAGCTGGAAATTGGAGTTTGTATGAGCTGGAGCACAGGACAAGACCTTTACAGAATTCCCTGCTCCAGAGCCCCTGGTTTAATCACTCTGAATTAAGGGACAGCTCATGGAGGTGCCACTTCTGGATCTCCTCTGAAATCCTGCTGTGCTTTTGGCTCCTTGGAGCTCTTGAGCAAAATGTGGGGCTTGTAAATCTTGCTGGAATGTTTGGAAAAGCACCTTCCAGCCTCCCAGGCCTTGTCTTTTGGACTGCTGGGTTTTTGCTGAGTCCACTCAAAACCACAGGGTGATAAAGGAGGGACTTTCTGCCTTGAGAGCCATGGATAAATCTGATTTTTTTTGGGAGACTCGCTGATGGAAATGGGGCAGGAATGTAAATAGGGATCAAATGAATATTGAGAATCATGAAGATTCCACCTCGTTATAAATATTGGTAGAAGCCACAAGAGCTGGAGTATCAGCTCAGGTCTTGTAAATCTTGCTGGAATGTTTGGAAAAGCACCTTCCAGCCTCCCAGGGCTTGTCTTTTGGACTGCTGGGTTTTTGGTGAGTCCACCCAAAACCACCAGGTGATACAGGTGATAAAGGAGGGACTTTCTGCCTTGAGAGCCATGGATAAATCTGATTTTTTGGGGGAAACTCGCTGATGGAAGTGGGGCAGGAATGTAAATAGGGATCAAATGAATATTGAGAATCATGAAGATTCCACCTCGTTGTAAATACTGGTAGAAGCTACAAGAGCTGGAGCATCAGCTGAGCTGCTTCTGGCTCGTGCTCCACCAGGTTGGGAAGCTCCTGGTGTGGCTGAACTCTGCTCACTGAGCCTGTGGAGACCTTGGAGCAGGGAAAATGAACCCTTTGGGAGCTGCAGGAGTGGCTGCAGAGACTTTTCCCTTCACCCTTAGAGATTGTCCTCGTGTGTTCGTGCCTAGAGAATGGAGCTGTCGGGGCCGGGTGGGCGGGGGGAGGATTTTCCACAGGGATATTTCCACCAGACTCGGTGGTTCCTGTTCAATTTTTGTCATTTTGTGCTGCTTTGTTTTGTTTTCTGTGGAGTCTTTTCAGCCTTTGGGTGTAGAAGAGGATGGAGTTTATTCATCCACATGCTTGTGACCGGGGTGTTCATGTAAATCCGTTTGCTTGTGCTTTCCCACTTCGTTTTCTGGATGTTTTTTCCTGAAATCTTCCATTTGTAGATCCAGCCTCTACAAGCTTTGAGAAAATGATGTTGGCTGTTTATAAAAAAACCTTCCTGTGGTGCTTGATGAAGAATCAAAAATCATCTTTTTAGGGGAGTCATTTCTAATAGAATCTCTTTCTCAAAGGTTTTTAAAGGCCGTGAAGATGACATATCTTAAAACTTAGCTGGTTGTACTTGACTTTGTTTAGGAATACACATTTTCATGTATTTTTGCACAGAAATGCACTGTATTTCACTGAAGGAATACATGCTGCACTGGTGTTTGTAGTGCATTTAACCTCTTGGTGCAAAGCCCTTGTAAATCTTCCAGATGTGGTCGTTGAATTTCCTGATGTTTTGTAAGACAGTTTCATAACCCAAGTCCTTTAGTCCAGTAATGATGACAAATTCTTATAAACTGACCCTTATTTGTGGAAGTGACTGAACTATATTTGTGGATCTTGGAGCATTCTGGAGTTTTTTGATTGTCTAGAAAATAAAACTCTCTGAGAGGGTTGCTTTGATTTTTTTTACCCTTCAAATGTTGACTGAGTAAACCTGAGAGTGTCTAGATTGAGGCTCACGTTTCAATTTCTGGCATTAAAATGAAATATTTAATATTTCCATTTCATTGATTTGGTTTAAAAATCAACATATCAATTTTTGGGGACAGCTAGATTGCAAGAAAAATCAGATTTTCGAAGGGAAGGACTAAAAGGATTCTGTTCACTTAAACCCCAGCCAAGTGAGATTTTTAGAAAATATTTTATTTTATTAATTTTTTAAACAGTCTTTGTAGTTTTATGTTAATTCAACTTTTGAAACTTCTCATTTTTCAAGCTGGGAAGCAGACACTGATCCCAGCTAGGAGGAGATGCATGTGGGGAGGACAACATCCCAAATATCCTTTCCAGAAAATTTTAAATTATATTGAATATTTGACAAAAAAATCTCACTGCAAGTAGACAATTTTACCTTTTTTTTTTTTTTTTCCCATGAAAGATGTGAGATGCTGAAGAACTCAGAGGGATGAGGGTGGTGATCTCCACCCTTGGTGAAAAGGATTTTTTGTGGGGGAAGGAGGAGAAAAGCAGGGCTCAGAGAAGTTGGGAATGATTTGGGGAGGAGAATTGTTTGGGTCCAGCCCTAAGCCATCAAGGTGAGCTGAATGCAAGTGTGGGACATTTGGGTGTTCCAGAAACTGGGTAAGATAAGGGCTTAACGAGGGTTTAATTGTTTAATTGATTTGGGGTTCCACCAAATCTCAGGTTTTTCCTAAACTGGGCGTTGCTTCCAGAGGGAAAATTCCTCCCTGGACTGGGGATTTAGGGCAGAATATTCTGATTTCCTGCTCATTTTGAAAAAGGAAGAGATGCCCTGGTAATCCATGGGTTTGTACCCAAGATTTGGATTTGTGCTGGAACACAAAGGTGGAGCTCAAACCTTGAGTGATTCAGCTCTCCTGGTTTGGTCCTTGGCAAAGCTGAGGACAGGAACGATGATACAAATGAACAAAACCCAAATCCAAGCTGGCAGCGATCACATGGAAATTGTAATCTCATTCCTAATTAATTTCTAGGCTTTGAACAGTTCCTTAAGTTGTTTTGGAAGAGGCTCTTGAGTTTTCCTTGGTAAAAAACATCCCTGCATAATTAAAGTTAGAAGATGCACCATCACTGAAGGCTGGGATTCATGAGGAATATTTATTTTGAGGAGAACTGAAATATTTTAATTGGTGCTACTGTTAATTAAACTATTATAATATATTACATGGTACCATTATATATTATTATTGTTAATCCTATTTAGTTACCAAACCCAAAGAGAAATGTGTGCTAATTTTTCTATGAGCAAGAAAAATGTAAATTTTTTAGTGTGAAGAGCAAACTCTTTGCACTCTGGCTGTGAGGAGCAGCTCCTTCACCTCCTTCCCACAGCTGCCAAGCACATTCCCTCTGGATAAACTCCCCAAACAACAGCTCAAGTGGAACTTTCTCAGCTGAAATTAGCTCTAAAATTTAGAAACACGACCTAAAAAAATCCTCTCTGATGTCTGGGATTGTTTGGGATGCATTACTGTGCACAATGGGATGAAATCAGCCCCATGGATGAGAAAAGCAAAGTTTGTTCTGTGGATCCAAAGCACTTGTAGCATCTGTAAAAATTCTAATTAAGCTGCTCCAGATAACACTGAAATTTCCCCCCATATTTTTTAAATTCTCCTGGCAGAAGGAGAACCCTCGAGCTCCGGTTGACATTGACACAAAGCTCACTGACAGGAGTGAGAGCACCACCCAGGCAAGTCAAACACAACAAATACCTCCAGATAATTCCTTTCCAAGGGAAGCTTTCAGCTGATGAAATAATTTGGGCAGAAATGTAGAAAACAATACATAGAATGTTGAGCAACAAAGTGTCCCTGCCCATGGTCTTTAAGGTCCTTTCCAGCCCAAACCATCCTGAGATTCTGTGATTCCATGTTAAATTAAAAAAGCTGCTACTTACTTGGCTTGACAGGCAAAAATAAGCTTTAAAGGAATTAATCCAAATGGTATTAAAACCTGATACTACAAATAAATATTCTGGTTTATATATTAAACAATCTGATAGTTCAGTTGATTGTATTCTTTATTTCTCAGTGGTAAGAGCTGTGAGAAGCTGGGGTGAATTCCAGTTGTTCCATGTTCAAGAATGTTTAATTTAGAATCTCACAGAAGCAGGATGGGTCTCACGAAGATTTTAGGCCTGGGTTTGAAAGGAGAATTTACAAAACTAAGAAAATTTATGAAAAATTGGGAAATAAGAATATGATTACATATACATCTATATATACAAAATATGAATGGATATAAATTGAAGATTAATAAATGTATATAAATTAGTGGGAGAATGGTTCTAATGATTAAAGGAAAGGGTCTTTGGATTGTTATCTTTAGATAAAGACTTAGTCAATTTTGCTACACTTGCAAAGAAAGATAAATTGTTTCAAGGTGGAATGTCTGAAGTTAAAGAAGGGAAGGCCAAAAATGCCACAAAGGGCTGGGTTAAGGAAGAATGGTCTCCATGGGAAAATAAATATTTATGAAAAATAACTAGGGCGTCAAAATCACAGAAAAGACCCTGGTGGTAAGAAGAGGAAGGAGAAAGATACTAAACTTCGAGGGAGAGAAGGTGAGAGGTTCAGGTTTCGCTTTCAGCCATGCTTTCTTCAGAAGATAACAGATCCCAACAGAGAAAAGAAGATGTCACATCTCCTTTGGAGGATGCCGCAAGAGAAAGGAGAAGGATTTGGGTCATCGAGGCCCCTGCTATAGATAAAGGTGTGAAAAGGAGGCATCCAGGGCATCCCATCCCTGCTGCCGGGGCCGGGGCGGGCGCGGGGCTGCGGCTGCGATGGCTGCGTTGCCCCTTTAATTGTGTCCCCAGCCCTCGGGCGTCTCTGTCCAACGCCCACGTCAGCAAATACCTTTTGTTTCTGTGCCGCTCGGGCTCGCAGGGCTGCGGGAGCAGCGGCGCGGCGCCTGCAGGCACGGCGAGCCCCGAGGCGGGGCCGGGGATCCCGCAGCCACCGCCCGCCCGTTCCCCCCGGCTCGGCGGCAGCGCCCGCAGCTCCCCGCCGGTGAGTGGCGGCTCCCGCACGCCGGTAGGCCGGGCAGGGCGCTGGGAGTGGGGCGGAACGGGCCGCCCGGAGCCAGCCGGGCTGTGAGGGGCGGTGAGGAGGGCGCGGGGCTCCGCAGCGGTCACGGGCGCTTCGGTGCCGCCCGGAGCCGCTCGGTGCCGCCCGGAGCCGCTCGGTGCCGGCGCTGCCGCGTCCCCGCCGGGCGCCATTTGCAGCCCCGGGCGCGGACACAAAGGGGCTGCGCGGGGCGGGCGGCGGCAGCGGGGGCGCTGCAGGCGGAGGAGGCTGCGGGCGGCGGGCCGGGAGCGGCACCGGGCGCTGGGCACCGGCAGCGGGGGGGACACACACGGGGGGCTCTGGCGGAGCCGCGGCTCCGTTCCCGCGGGCGGCGCGCCCGGCTCGGGGCGGTCCGTGAGGGCGGAAGGCAGCGCAGCCCGGCCGGGGCTGGCGGGCGCTGCGGTCCCCGAGGTGGGAGCGGGACCGGGCGGCTCCGGCACCGTCGGGCGTCCCGGGGACCGGGTGAGTGACGGCGGCCAGTGCCGGGGGGGCCGGGCGCTGCCCCCGGAGCTGTCGGCAGCGGGGCCCGGGCGGAGCGGGGCGAGGCGGAAGCGCCGGTTCGGGGCTCGGCCGCGGTCGCAGCCGCAGCTGCTCTTGGCTCCTCGTCCTCCCGGCGCTGCCGGAAGGCTGCGCAGCCCCAGCGGGCGGCACGGCTCCAGCCCCGCATCCAGCCCCGCAGCCCGGGCACGGGAATGCTCCCGGCTGGAGCACAGCCGTCCGTGCCAAACAACGCGGGCTTGGCTTTGTCATCCCTCTTGTCCTGTTGGAAAATGAATCCGTGGTTGAGCATATCGTAGTTTACAAATATATTTGTAGATTTAAAGGAATGCTATTATTTGGAATAAATAAGGAAATGGTATTATTATAGCTTTAAAATTGGGTCTGACATATTTGGCTGAGTTACACGGCACTGAAGTCAAGAGTGTAATGATTTTCTTCATTTTTTCAGAGCAACGTTTCATTTCACCTTTTCTGGGATGGAGATTTCTTCTCATCAGTTTCACCTCTTGCAGCAACTAAATGAGCAGCGCAGGCAGGACTTGTTCTGTGACTGCAACATCCTGGTGGAGGGCAAGGTCTTCAAAGCCCATCGCAATGTGCTGTTTGCCAGCAGCGGCTACTTCAAAATGCTCCTTTCGCAGAGCTCGAAGGAGACCAGTCAGTCCACCACAGCCACTTTCCAGGCCTTTTCTCCTGACACCTTCACAGTTATCCTGGATTTTGTGTATTCAGGCAAACTGTCCCTCACTGGTCAGAATGTGATCGAGGTCATGTCAGCCGCCAGCTATCTGCAGATGACCGATGTGATCAGCGTGTGTAAAACCTTCATCAAGTCCTCGCTGGACATCAGCGAGAAGGAGAAGGATCGCTACTTCAGCCTGTCAGACAAAGATGTGAGCTCCAACGGCGTGGAGAGATCCTGTGTGTACAGCGGAGGCTGGAGGGCAGAGAGCAGCCCCCCACACCCCCACTCCAGCCCAGACCCTGGGACTTGCATGATGGGCGGCAACGCTTGGAGCAATTTCAACTATTACCCCAGCTCTCAGAGAAATGCCCAGCAGCAGCAGCAGCAGCTGTCCAAACACGAGCAGCGGCAGGATTCCATCAAGAAATCCCGGCACCTGGGGCTGCAGCAGCCTGCAGACATCCCCCACTATAAATCAAGCAAGCTGGAGGACAGGGCTGCCGAGCCCGCCGGCCACGCCGCGCCGCCCGAGGAGCAGGTTCACATTGACCCCGAGGTGGAAGCTCCTCACGTGGGTTACCAGTTCAGCCAGGGGGCTGAGGTGATGCCCAGGGGCTTGGCTGTGTCCCAGCAGGAGCACGAATCACCTCGCTCCTCCAGTAAATCCAAGTCCTCCAAAGCTGAGGAGCAGTACGGGAGCATGCCCTCCATCCTGGGAGTCATGGGCAACTGGGCTGAAGGTGAGTGGGGTGGAGACACCTGAGAATCCTCTCTTCTGGCTCTGAGAAAATAGGTCTTGCTCAATAGGAAAGCACAGCTGCCAAATAACCAGATGTATTGTCCAGAAATGTGTGTTTGGAAAGTTGAACTCATGATCTTGAAATAATTTTGAGTTCTTGAAGTAGCTGGGGTATTAAATTTAAAGATAAATATAAGTTGGGATGTTTTTAAGCTCATTTTCATGAAATCACAGAATGGTTTGGTTTCAAAGGACCTTAAAGCTGATTTTGCTCCACTCCCTGCCATGGGCAGGGACACCTCCCACTGTCCCAGGTTGCTCCAAGCCCTGTCCAGGCTGGCTTTACCAGGTCTGTGTTAATACAGCCAATGGTCCTCTCCTCCTTTGTTGCACTCCTGTGTGATCTACAGGCACACACAAAACCTTTGTGCCCCAAACAACCCATGAACATTATTTCAATAAAAGCGATGCGCTATTCTTCTCATAACACACTTTGTCCTACAGCATTACGTGACGTGATTTTGATAAAAATGACTTGATGATTTTTTTTTTAAAATTCCATTATTTTCTGACAGATGACCTGGCCAGGATGAGGTTCAAGTGTCCATTCTGCAGCCACGTGGTGAAGAGAAAAGCTGACCTGAAGCGTCACCTCCGCTGCCACACGGGAGAGCGGCCGTACCCCTGCGAGGCCTGTGGCAAGAGATTCAGCAGGCTGGATCACCTCAGCAGCCATTTCCGAACTGTGAGTATTTTTAGCAGCTGCATGATTTATTTAACGTGTAAATCTAGCTAATTAAACACAGTGTGAGTGTATCTGGTTGATCTAATGACTCCCGTAAAGAAGAGGGGAATAGAGAATTCATTTGGTTTGGTTGCAGTGGAATTGAAGGATAATTTGCAGCAAAGGGGAGGAATTTGTTGGCTAATTGATGGCTTGCAGAGGTTCTGCTCTCTGCAGCCTGTGAGAGCTCCAGTGGGCAATTACTGTGCTGGGCTGGTGCAGTTCAGTGTTTGATGTCTCTCAAATTGAGGCAATGCTGTGTGTGGTGTTTTCTGAGTCCCCCCAAGTAGGGAGGAAATGGTGAATCTGACTCCATGTTCTTAGAAGGCTCATTTATTATTATATTATATTATATTATATTATATTATATTATATTATATTATATTATATTATACTATACTAAAGAATAGAGAGAGGATACAGACAGAAGGCATAACAAGATAATGATGAAAAATTTAAGACTCTCTCCTCAGAGTTTGACACAGCTGGACAGTAATTGGTCATTAAGTTAAAACAATTCACATGAAACCAATCAAACAATGTCCAAACCACATTCCAAAGCAGCAAAACACAGGAGAAGCAATCAGATAATTATTGTTTTCATTTTTCTCTGAGGCTTCTCAGCTTCCCAGGAGAAGAAATCCTGGTGAAGGGATTTTTCAGGAAATGTGACAGTGACAGTCTGTCCCTATAGAGTGTAACACGGTGTAAAGCACCAAGACTCCATCAGAAAGGTGCATAACAGAGATTTATTATAGCAACATGTTGCCTTTATAGTTTTTCAAGATATTTACATTTACTTAACAGACACATTCACTGCCCATTGGTCATAAGAAAGAAACAAAACTCTCAATAGGTGAACAAGGAATCACGTCATATCTTTTAACTTTCTCTCTTCCATCACCTTGTCATGGGGATAGCTTTGGTGTCTTCCTTGAGAGAGATATGGGGCTTTCCTTATCTTCAGGAAGCCTTTGCTGGCTCACAAAAACAGCACAAAATGCCTTTCCTACAGCAGTCATCTCCCACAAACCCCATTTGTGGATGCTTAGCAACTCCATCCTGCGAGATGGAGCTTTCCCCCTAACAGGGGCTGCTCCTCAGGTTTCTCTCTGCCAGAGAAGCTTTAAGGTGATGGTGAAGGAAAGGAGTCAGTTCTGATGGAGTTTTGATCCAGAGCTTTATTCTGGCCCACAGAACAAAGCAACAGCTCCAACAGAACTTCCCAAACCCTGTGGTTGCTGTTCCTTTGAACCCTGGTGTGACCGTGTTCACAGGGGTCTGAGGATGTGGGAAGAGATGAGGATCTGACTCCATGTTTCAGAAGGCTGATTTATTATTTTATGATATATATTATATTAAAACTATACTAAAATAATAGAAGAAAGGATTTCATCAGAAGGCTGGCTAAGAATGGAAAAAGAAGGAATGATAACAAAGGTTTGTGTCTCAGAGAGTCTGAGCCAGCTGACTGTGATTGGCCATTAATTAGAAACAACTCTGAGACCAATCCCAGATTTACCTGTTGCATTCCACAGCAGCAGATAACCATTGTTTATATTTTGTTCCTGAGGCTTCTCAGCTTCTCAGGAGGAAAAATCCTAAGAAAAGGATTTTTCAGAAAAGATATCTGTGACACCCTGGGGGAGAGGAGGAGGGAAGGGATAGGAAGCCACCAAGCAGGTACAGGAGAGGAGGTCTCAAGGGACAAACATGGTCCAATGCCCACCAGGGGTAGAGGGCATCCTTTGAACCTGCCAATCACTCGAGCACCTTTTGGAATGCCAGGATTGACAGGCAGTGCTCAGCAAGGGGCAAGGGAGAGGGGAAAAGAGAGGTGATTTATGGGAGGAACCAGCTTTCTGAGGTAAATCTTGACCTCACAACCCAGCTCCATCCCTTGTGCCTCCCCCAGATCCACCAGGCGTGCAAGCCCATCTGCAGGAAGTGCAAGCGGCACGTGACGGAGCTGACGGGCCAGGTGGTGCAGGAGGGCACGCGGCGCTACAGACTGTGCAACGAGTGCCTGGCAGAGGCTGGCATCGACAGCATCCGCATTGACTTGGAGGCTGAGGCGCCCCTGGAGTTCCCCCAGGACGGGGACAAGGACTCCAGGTGGCACTACGGAGAGGACAACAGGTCTGACGTGGAAATCGTCGAGGACGGCTCCAACGACTTGGTCATCCAGCAGGTGGATGACAGCGAGGATGAGGCGGAGGAGAAGGAAGTGAAACCAAACATTAGGTAGTTGGAAGAGAAGGATTGGGAATTCTGTGGAAGAGGGAGGATGTACTGTGAGCAAATGCCCTCTGCCAGCTGATCCTACAGAGACACGTGGTTGAACAGGTCCAGACTTGCATGTATTTATGGACACGTCATTGAGGCCATGCTGGTTTGTTAGCAGAACCCCCATGTGTTGTTTGGTTAGAAAATCCATCCTGAAATTATGGATAAACAAGGAAACTGCAGTATTATCTGGATAATTTTTATAGCAGAACCCCCATGTGTTGTTTGGTTAGAAAATCCATCCTGAAATTATGGATAAACAAGGAAACTGCAGTATTATCTGGATAATCTTTATAGCAGAAGCCCCGTGCATTTTTTGGTTAGAAAATCCATCCTGAAATTATGGCTAAACAAGGAAACTGCAGTATTGGTGGATAATTTTTATAGCAGAACCCTCATGCATTTTTTGGTTAAAAAAATTCATCCTGAAATTCTGGATAAACAATGAAACTGCAGAATTAGTGGATAATTTTTATAGCAGAACCCCCATGCATTTTTTGGTTAAAAAGATCCATCCTGAAATTATGGCTAAACAAGGAAACTGCTGTATTACATGGATAATTTTTATAGCAGAACCCCTATGTGTTGTTTGGTTAGAAAATCCATCCTGAAATTGTGGATAAACAAGCAAACTGCAGAATTACATGGATAATTTTTATAGCAGAACCCCCATGTGTTTGGTTAAAAAGATTCATCCTGAAATTCTGGCTAAACAAGGAAACTGCAGTATTGGTGGATAATTTTTATAGCAGAACCCCCATGCATTTTTTGGTTAGAAAATCCATCCTGAAATTATGGCTAAACAAGGAAACTGCATTATTATCTGGATAACTTTTATAGCAAAACCCCCATGTTTTGTTTGGTCAAAAAGATCCATCCTGAAATTATGGATGAACAAGGAAACTGCAGAATTACATGGATAATTTTTATAGCAGGCAATGGGGCACATCTCAAAGCCTCTTGCAAGGAGGTTTAAATACTTTTTAAAAAGTCACAGATTATTGTAAATTGCCTGTTTTTTACACTAGTAGAGAGGTGGGGTTTATATAAACAAAGTATAAAACCCCCCAGACCAGACAACCTCTCTTGAGTGTTCAGAAGTGAAGAGAATTATCCATCAAATTTCATTAAATCTTCATGTTATAATAAGGAAAACAGCAGCTAATTAAGAAAGAGCATTTAAATGTTTTGGCACTTTTGTCTGGAAAATAAATTCTGTAAAATTTATTAGGATGAGACGAATCTTAAGTAGATCATCTGTTCAAGATTTATTTCTTTCAAAGAAAAGAAGCACATAAATGCTTAACATATCAAACTGATTTAAATTTGGATCATGAATTGATGGCAGTAGATGTTTTAGTCTCAAAATTAGGATCTCAGACTGGGTTGGTTTAATAAGGACTATTAAAATCCTGGTTTTTTATATTTTGAAACCTCTCAAAAGTGCCCAGACATGGTGGGATTGTTGGGGTGCAGGGCCAGGAGCTGGATTTGGGTGATCCTTGTGGGTCCCCTCCAGCTCAGGATTGAATTTTGTGCACCTTTCCCAGTTTGTACCAGTAAAACCAAGATGTACTGGAAGTTCTAGACACCATATTTGTGTCATTTCACCCACAGCTGGGCTACAGAGATGGGTAATGAGGAAGAAATTTTATTTCTCTAACAAAATAAGCTTGGTTTTGCTGCTTGGTGAGTTTTTTAGCCAGCACTGTCAGAGGAGAGGAGCAGGAGATGCTCCTGGGGTCCTGCTGCTCTGCATTCCTTGGACACACCTGAGTTTAATTCCAACTCTGGGATCATGGAACTCAATGGCTGTAGATTTAGAAAATTCTATCTATTTTTTTTCTTTTTTACAGCTTTGTAAGCATGTTTGGCTGAACCCTGGGCTTTCTTACACAACAATCCCACATACATATATATAAATATAAATATATATGTATATGTACTATATATAACCCTTCCCAGGGGCAGCTAAAAAGTCGCTATTTTATTTTTAGTTGTGTAAAAACTGTATAATTTTCTTGTATCATCATGACCAGACAGTGCAGAATTTTCATTCCAGGCTGCGGGTGACCAACCAATGACAACTTGAGAACTTCATGTTAAATTCAGTGTAAGGATTGTGCACCCTCCTCTTCATGGGAAGCATCCCAAGGACACAAGAAATGGTGTTTTGCTGTTCCTACAAAAATGATAATTTATTGGTTTAGGTTTGGGGAGGGAGTAATTAAAAATCTTTGTGATTACTCAGATGAAAAGATCTTAAACAAGACTTACACTTGATTTTATGGGACACTTGGTCAGCAGCCCCAAAATGGACTTGATGTGAAAACAGACATTTAATTTCTTGGAGCTTTTCAACTCCTAAAATGCCTGTTATTAAATGGCTTAGAAATATTCCTGAGCAACCTGGACTAAATCAAACACACAGAACAAGAAAGATTTCAAAGGATATGGAGTAACTTTGCTCAAATTTCATAGATGTTTCCCTTTGCCTTTCCATTAAACAGTTTGAGAACAAATCCCAGGTATCAGTGCCTGCTGTCCCAGGGGAAAAACGTGGCTGGAATTGGGCTGGCTTTGTTTGGGGATGGATAAAAGGGAGGGGAAAATGAAAATAAAGTGTTCTCTCCAGACCTGACATCTCAACTTCCAACTGCAAAGGTCAGGCTATTAAGTGTTTCTTAATAGTGGGGGTGTTTTTAGAAGCAAAGGGATTTTTGGATCAATACTCAATTTAATTAGAGATCATAAATCTAACAATACTGAGGAGCAGATGCTTCACAACGAGATCTGAAGTGGCTCTAAACGGGCAAATGGAGCAATCTATCCACAGGAAGACTTTTACTTTTTAAACACAGATTAATTGTTGATTTGCTGGGCAAATAAGGGCTTTTTTCTGGATTTATATGTTGTTATTCTCATTAGTAGAACTAGGTATCTGTAGTCATTTTTAAAGTATCATATTAAGCTTGGAGGTTTAGCTCAAGGCTGCGATTCCCACAGTCAATGATGTTTTTCTGGTTTTTAAAAGTTACCATTTTTACATTTGTTGTCTTAATTTTGGTCGTTGTTTCCTTCCTTTTGTATTGCAATTCAAGATAAATGTTAAGTGCCTTCTGTTTTCCACGTCCTTCATTTTACACTCATGTATTTTCCTTGATGTTTTTTTTTCTCTAAATGAAAGTATTTTTCTTTTTGTCTCCTTCCATTGCCTCTGATTGTTTTCCTCATATTTCTGTGAGCATCACTTGCCCCTCATCAGCTCAAGGAACATTTCAAGGAGGAAAGTAAAGACCACACAGGGATGTTCCCATTTAATTTATTTATTTCCTTGTGTTTCTTTCATCTTTATGTCTCTTAGGAACAGGACTTAGTGCTGGATTTGATCTTAACGGGTCTTTTCCAAGAATTCTGTGATTATTTTTGCTTGGTTTGTGTTTATTTTGTAGTCACAAAACCACAGTCAAGAGTGAAGGCAAAGTTCATCATCCTCTGATCAATGTCTCTTAACTCTCCTTATTTTCTGACAATATCTTCCCATCCTTTCAAAGGCTGAAATGCTGAATTAAAAAATTCCCTCTCTTCCTTTTCAGGTGTTTCTTACACAATTATCTCTGCCCCCAAAAATCTATAACTTGTGTGATGCTTGATTAGGTCTTTCACATAATTTCCCTTTTTTTTTTGATTGCCATTAAATTACTTAAAGATCTATATTTGCTATCCAAAAAATGTCACTTGTCCTTATCTTAAAGGTTAAACAGTTTGGTAGCCCCACTTAACAACAAAAAATTCCAAAGACTGAGTTAAGAATTAATCTCCCTTTCCAGCCTTTTGTAATTTGGATTCTATTCCAGTTCTAAAGAACTGACATAAGAAAAAAACCCAGAAATATTGATTTAGGGTGGCTTTGAAAATACTGAAAGCCCACAGATCTCACAGAGGGCTGACTTTGACTGCTGCAGGTATCCTTGCCTCACTCCTGGCTCTGCAGAATGTTCCATCCTCCAGGATTTTGGGATCCAGCTCAAGTTTTCAGTGATAACTTTAGGAAAAAAACCTCACAAAACACTGTTGAATATAAAATAATGGAATATAAATTTCTTCCCATCTGGTCACTGTCAGACTTATGCCATGTCAATGTCTACCTTTCTTATGTTTTAGTTACTTTTGGTTGGAGGCAACAAGTACAAAAATGAAATAAAAGAAAAAAATCTCCAATTCTGCCCAAAAGATTGAATTTTGAAGAAAAGGATGTTCTAATCCTCCAACCCTTGCCTTGCAGAATTTTTCCATTAGGTGCAAATTCATGCCAACACTGTTGAGTGATGGGTTTAAGTTGATAAGCCACTAAGAAAAGCTTATAATATCATTTAGTTAAATATTTTCCATACTGTTTAACTTAAAACCTTTCTACATTGGAGGCGTAACCTTTCATCCTATTGAACTCATGAAATGCAAAGAGGAGGCTTATTCGGTGCATCAAGAATTTTAAACAGAACAAGAGCACAGAACAAGAGATTTTGTGAGGAAAATTGGGAGGAGTGGCTGGAAAGAGCCTTCCCTATCTTGGCTTAGCTGCTGGAATAAATTAAACACTATTGAAGATCTCACCCGACGCTTGCTGTGGGAATGGGAATGTTCCTTGCCAGGTTCTTGCAGCCTGCTCTGAGGAGGGAACTGGACCGATGACTGCAGAGCTTCCTGCTCAAAATTATTCCATGATCTCCAGGAATAAAACTGAAAAGACTGAAAGACTGAAAGAATCTCATCTAACAGGCACGAATTTGAAAGTGTCTTGTTTTCTAACAAGCATCCTGATTCCATCTTCCACCCAGAAGGGAAAACAGGACAATCTGTGCATTACACTCCTACAGTGCAGCGCTTTGCTTTGGGATTATCCTCATTGTTTGACTACAAAAATCCCGTTATAAAAATGCTGCGATATCGAGTTAATATCATTAATCCGACACCGCGGAGCTCCGGATTTCTGCCGTTCACCATTCAGGTGGCGCCTTCCCTTTGCGAGCACACAAAGGTGGCAACAACAAAGCCCGGTGTGAGCGGGGCAGCGGCTCGGAGCAGCATGTGGGTGTGGGGAACGGGGATCGGGGCGCCGGGGCCGGGGCAGGCGCGGGGCTGCGGCTGCGATGGCTGCGTTGCCCCTTTAATTGTGTCCCCAGCCCTCGGGCGTCTCTGTCCAACGCCCACGTCAGCAAATACCTTTTGTTTCTGTGCCGCTCGGGCTCGCAGGGCTGCGGGAGCAGCGGCGCGGCGCCTGCAGGCACGGCGAGCCCCGAGGCGGGGCCGGGGATCCCGCAGCCACCGCCCGCCCGTTCCCCCCGGCTCGGCGGCAG